GTGGATGGTGAGGGGTTGAAGGACAGCATTGACAGGATGCACAATGGAGTTTATCCAGGAGATGTGTGTTTTGGAATCAAACTCATCAGAACCCAGCAATAGGAGCAAACAGAACGGTGTCCCAAGTTCAGGTTAGAAATCAGGCGTTCCAGCTTCGAAAGCTACTTGAGCTCTTACTGAACAGCAAAGAAACAGGATACAATTTCTTGAGAACAATTCTACTTTTATTCATGTATTATTCATCTTTTAACAATTCCATACGTAAAGACAGCCTACCGTGATGGTATCCACCCCCTCCTGCTACCCTCTTGCTCCTCTCCCACTCCTGGTGACTACTGCTTCCCCAGAAGCCTCCTCCTGCTCTTATGGCTTCTGTTTGCTTGTTTTATTTTATTTCTTGTGCCGATAACCACGGCTGCTCCGTTTTCACGGCTGCTCATGTCATGGCCAGAAGATAACGTTTAATAATGCTGCTCACCCAGGGGCCATTTATAGACTCTTCCTTTCAGAGTCAACGAGGGAGTAGTATTGGTAAACAGACCCTCCTATAGTCAGGTGCCCCTTCCAGGTGTCAACAGTAGGAAGACTGCTAACTGGATGGTCTAGTGCAGGGTGTTACTCTACAAAACCTGTAGCCCCATCAACATGTAGGGCAGTGGTTCTCAGCCTTCCTGATGCCTGTCACCTTTTAATACAGTCCCTCATGTCGTGGTGACCCCCAACTATAAAATAATTTCATAGCAACTTCATAACTGTCATTTGCTATTGCTACAAATCTTAAAATCTGACAAATATAAATAAATAAATAAAATTTATAAATAAATATCTGACATGCAACCCCCATGGGTTGAGAACTTCCGGTGTAAGGCAATGCATGCTGAACCTGGACTGCACAAAAAGAAAGGAAACGCAGCAAAAAAGTGACAGACCCTTCAATGGTCTGTAGTCACCCGCTCATACTGGCATTTTTTCCTATCCTGCCATGCTAAGTCAGTGTCAAGTGATGTCTTCCAAATTGTATCACAGAACATAAACAAAGTGACCAATATCAGAGGGCACTGAGGTGGCGGGGTCTAAGAGGCTGAGGAGGGCAAATGCCCTCTTGCTCTGTGCTCACAAACCACACTTCACCATGTAGAGCAAAGATCAGAAGCTTTAATCCCAATTGTTAGTAAATGTTACATTACCATAAAGTCGCATAAATCATCAAGGTTGCCTGGCAAAGCCCTTCCCACTCGCCCACTTCCAGAGGATTTTTTGCAATGTGAATATTACTGAAAGCTGAGTTGATTTGTGTTATACTTCAGCATATTACTTGGGTGTCAAGGAAGACCAACTTAAGTAAGAAACTCTGTGTTATACATGTGTGCTATACCTACCGCCTGCCAAAAGACGAGACTGGAGGACTGACTGTGTATCAAGTATCCAATCCCTAATTTTCACACTGTGGACTTGATCCTTTTTTATTATTATTATACTTCTTTATTTAGGATGGGATGTGCATGTAGGAGATTAAAAAAAAACCTTCAAGAATTATTCCTTGGGGCTGGAGAGATGGTTCGGAAGTTAAAACAATGGTTGCTCTTTGAGAAGACCTAGGTTCAATTTTCAGCACCCTAGTGGTAGTTCACAACATTCTGTAACTCCAGTCCTAGGGGATCCACTGCCCCCTCTTCTGGTCTCTACAGGCATTGCATGTATGTGGTACACAGATACATATGCAGGCAAAACACTCAGTCATATAAAATAAAAATAAAAGTTAATTTAAAAAAAAAAAGGTTAGTTCTCTCCTTCTGCCATGTGGGTCTTAGGGATCAAACTGAGGTCAGGCTTGGCAGCAAGCGGTTTTTCCCACTGAGCCAGCTTGCTGGCCTCATGACCTTCTGTTTTCTGACTCTTGGCTCTCTCCTTCCACGGCATCCCACTTCAGTTTCTATAGCATATTTTCTCTTTCTAAAAGGTTTGAAGAAGTTTACTTGGTGGACATCATTAGTAAGTCTGGACTTTTGGGGGCTTGGGAGTGATGCTAGGGATCAAATCCAGGAGTTCCCGCTTGCCAGGCAAGCATCCTGCCACTGAGCTACATGCCAAGGTCTGTATCTGAAAGTATTTAGCTGTGTCCTATGATCGTCTACCAAACAAGTCTATTAAATTGGTACATGGGGGAAATGGGCAAGAAGATGACTCCGTAGCTGAAATGTACGGCTCTGCAGAGGTCGTCTCAATACCATAAGACAAATAGTTGACTAGTCCCACTGCAGAGTAGAGGCTCTTCTCTGAAGTGGTGTTTATTCATTCATTCATTCATTCATTTAATTTTTATTGGATGCTAGTTATTGAACCCAAGACCCAGTACATATGAGACATGCAAAAAGTCATATCAATATCATAAGACAAATAGTTGACTAGTTACCAGTATAGAGTAGAGAGAGGTTCTTCTATGTGATCACTCAAGTTTAGTGCAGAAGTGGTATTTTATTCATTTATTCATTCACTTAACCTTTATTGGATACTAGTTATTGAATCCAAGACCCAGTACATAGAGCCATGCATTCTACCCCTAAGCTGCTCCTCAATTCCAAATCTTTAGGTACAAAAATTGTAACACTCTCAAAGGGGTATCTCACCCCTTTCTTTACTTGACACCTTTATTCCTCCGTCTCCCCTCTCTGAGCTGATTCCAGCCCAATGATTATGCTCTACAGTTTCTACCTGTAGGCTACGCTTGCATTTTGGCCTCCCTAGTTTACAGAAAGGGAACATGAGGCCTGAAGACCATAATGACTTGCTAGTGCCACATGGCAAGTCCCCGGTGGAGCTGAGATTCAGTACTCGAGTGCTAGTTACAGTAGACCACCACTGTGCCGTGTTTGTGTGTGTGTGTGTGTGTGTGTGTGTGTGTGTGTGTGTCCCACTGTGGAGTCAACCTGATCCTCCACTTTTACCCTCTCTCTCCTGTTACTCTGACAGCCTCACTGGTGGCTGATCCAAAGAGCCTTGCTCCACACATTCTGTGTCAGAGCCTCTCTGGTCACTTATATGATTTCCTAGTTCCTACCTCACTCAACATTCCAAGTTACCACAAGCTTTTCAGATTGAAGGCAGCTTAATATAGCGGTGGGTGTGTGGGTGTGCCTGGATAGACTGTAGTTGACTCCTTTCCTGAGCATAGAGCGTTTACAGGAGTGGGGTCTCTTCTGAATTGGTCTCTGTCTGGTTCTGGAGTTGCCCCATCAGTTAATGCCCCCTGAGGCTGGAGCCTGGTCAGTCATCATCTCCTCTCTAGATTGTTACGGAGTGCCTGAGCCAGATGCGCATTCTACAGATTTGCCTCAGGCTCTGCTCATTCTTCACCTAGATCTAGAGGTTTCTGTAGTGCAGATTTGGTTCCCACGAGCTGCCTGACACCTCAGTGACCTCCAATAGCCCATATATGAAACTCACAGAGTAAACTGAGCCCTGCTTGCCCACCATCCGTGGGTGTCTCAGACCCTTTACACCTTGCAGAACCCACTGTGGCTTCTCCTGGAAGTGTCTCCTTGTCTGTCTCTGAGCCCTCATTGACTCTCTGCAGCCTGGTACTTGCCTGTCTTCTTTACCACCCGTGCGTGGATTGACAGCTGCAGCTTTGGGGGCAGAGGCAAAGCTCAGCAAACATCTCTTGCCTGAGTAAGGGGAAATCATTCACTTCATTTTAATTTTTTAACAGTGTAGACCCGTGTGTTTTCAACCTTCATTATCTGCTTTTGCTACCATTACTGATGCCATCCCTCCGCGCACGTATCTGACCTCTTTATGCTTCCAACATTCTTTTGCCACATTCTTTGAGTCCTCTCTTTAAAAGAAACAAAAGTGTGTGTGTGTGTGTGTGTGTGTGTGTGTGTGTGTTCACGTGTGCGCACATGTCGGGGACTTGGAGGTGCTCATGTGTGTATGTTTCTGGGGGTCTCAAGGTAGAAGTCTTCCTCTATCGCTGCTACCTTGTCATTTGAGACGGCATCTCACCAAACATAGAGTTCACCAATTTGACTATTCTGGCTTGCCAGCAGGCCTAGGAATCCTCGTGTCTCCACACGAGGATATTATGATATTATGATATAACAATGATATTATGAGCATGCATTGCCACACTTGGATTTTTATGTCCATGCTGGGATCCAAACTCAAATCCTCCTGCTCTCACAGTATACGCTATACCTGTACCTGTAGAGCCATAACCCGAGCCCTTAAGACATTTGTGATGGCCAAACAGTGGTCTTGGCATGCTTATGGCATTTGTGCTCAGTTTTGCTGGGACGATTGCAGAGCCCACCATGAGTCTCCCGGCCTTCTGTAGCAGCCTGAGGCCAGTGGGAGCTGGTGTCCAGCAGAGCAGGAAGGATGAATAACTATCTAACCTGTTTCCTAGAGTGACAAAAGGGTAGTGCTTCCTCTCAGTTATCTGTTGGCATGAACAGGAAAAAAAAAAGTAAAGGACAAAGCAGCTTGTGGGGGAAAAGTAGGAAGTTTTATTTTTAAAAAGTTTTCATTTTTAATTTTAGGGTTAAAAATATACAGTTTTGTTTGTTTGTATAACTTTCCTAAGTTTTAATAATCAAGAAGAAAATGATCGGGGGTCTCCCATCCATTGAGATGCCTCAGCAGTTAAAAGCACTGACTGCTCTCTCAGAGGTCCTGAGTTCAATTCCCAGCAACTACGTGGTGGCTCACAACCATCTGTAATGGGACCTGATGCGGTCTTCTGGTGTGTCTGAAGACAGTGACAGTGTACTCCTCACACTCACTAAATAAATAAATGAATAAATAAATAAATCAATAAATAGGGTGAGGAGGAGAAAGAAGGAGAGGAGGAAGAGGAGGAGGAAGAAGAGGAAGAGGAAGAGGAGGGGGAGGAAAAGGATGGGGTCAGAATTCCTTGTAAAAGAAGGTACTCCTAGATGTACTTAACATGCCCAACCTTTGGCTTACTATCAGGGTTAACGCGTGTTTTCTGTTTCCAGAGGTGACCTTGAAGGTGCACATTAGTGACGCCAGCACCCACCAGCCCATCGCTGATGCGCTCATTGAGATCTTCGCCAGCCAGGTGTCTGTTGCCTCTGGTACATCCGGCACAGACGGGGTTGCTTTCATCAAGTTCCCTTACAAGCTGGGAAATCAGCTGATTGTCACCGCCACAAAACACGCCTACGTGCCAAACTCCGCCCCATGGAAGCCCATCCGATTACCAGGTAAGTGGTACCTCTTTCTCTAAGACAGACCTCTTGTGGGTCGGTGGCCAATGATGAAATCAGACACTGAAGGAGTCAGGCAGGGAAATCCTTACACCAGTTCTGTGAGTCACCTTCTTGTATGCCACCGTGTGGAGGGGTCGTAAGGTGAGTGTGTGAAGCTGGCAGGAGCCCCACCTTGTACACAGGGGTCACAGGTGCTCGGTTTTCTGGCCATTTTTCCAGTGCATGCTGACCGGCAGCACTGTGAGCTCTACTCCAGGGTACTGCATCCTCTGTACTTCCTAGAAGTCAGAACAGCCCAGAGCTCTCCCGAGAGTAAAGGACAGCCGCCCGTGCCTGTCCCAGAAGCTCTCCTCAGTGACGCAGCAGAAGCCTGCTCAGAGCAACATAAGGAAGGGCGCGTTTATTTTGACAAATGATTTAAGAGAAAGTCTCTTGTGGGGAAGGCATGGCAGCAAGAGCATGAGGCGGCTGGTCATTCATAGTCTGGAGCAGAGAATAAGAAGTGTACTTTTTTATATGCAGCCTAAGACCCCAGCCCATGAAATTTCCCTGCCCATATGCAGGGTGGGTCTCCTCCCTGCAGTTAACCTAGTGTAGGTAATCCTTCACTGACTATCCAGACATTTGTCTCTTTGGTGATTCTAAATCCTGTCAAGTTGACAATCAATAACACCATCACAGGATAGAACCCATGGAAGGTCAGCAAAAAGATGTAAAGCCCTTGTCACTGGGTTCCAGCTAAAGGAAAAATGTTTGCCCTCCCCAGTGGATGTATTGGGGGGAGAGGGGATGCAGAGACTGTCTGCCTGCATCTGAATAGCAGCTGTACGGGTCATGTTGCAGTCTATGCAGGGTTCAATCTCAGACCTTGTAAACACTGGGCCTCTATTACGAGGCTAACTTCCCAGGAAGCTCTAGACATACATCTTCAGCAGCTGGTTAATATATACCTCTATTTTATGTGGGCTCGTTTAAAGACACAGTTGATCTGCTAACATCGGGCTCAAGTGCACAGCACCATAACCTACATCTGAACAGCATTTATATCTATTCTCTCCATAAGGTCACGGTACCCTCTCCTTATATTCAGGGCCTTCAGCACTATACACGGGGGCCACTTAAAATAGTGAAATCACCAGCAGAAAGCACACATGTGAAAAGCCTAGCACAAAGAGATAAAGCAAAGGTATTCATCACGGGAAAGCTGAGGCAAGCAGGCAGCCTCTTGCCCCATCAGCCTCTATGATGTGTACGGGCACAAACTCACGGGGACTGTCGATGTAAGAGGAACAATTTAGCAAACATGTCCATTTGTAAATATGGGACTCCTGCATGGTGAGAATCAGCCACCTAATGGCTTTCATTTTGACTCCATTAATAGGATTGGAAGAAAGGAAATTGTCTCCATAATGTCCATTTTCTTGAATGAGTCTGATAATGGAAACAAGACAGTTTAATTGAAAGCGTTTTAGAGACACCATGAAAACACCTGAAACCGAGAACTGCCTTCCGCTAGCTGCCCCACCCGAGTGGGCCCAGCAGGATTGTCAGAACCTGTGTTTCTAGCTTTTGAAATGGAATTAATTGGCCTGAATCATTTCAAAAGACCTTCCCGTGCCTTTGGTTATTTGCTGACCTTTTGAATATAATAAAGGCGCTCCTAACTAGCACGTAAAACAAGTGTGACCAGAATGTAGAATGGCCGCTGCTGAAAAGCTGAGTAAACTGTTGTTTTAGTGTGTATTTTTAGAAGTTGGGTCTCACACTTCTGGTATTCCAAACAACTGAGAGAAAGAAAAAAAGAGGCAAAAGAGCTTGGAGTTCTGAAATAAGATGAGAGATCGTGGCCATGATGCTTTCTTCACTGCGTGTTTGGAGTTTTCATTTTGAATGAACATTCTTGTAAGAGCTTGGAGTGAATTTCTCTTCTCATCCTTAGCAGTAACTCCTAGAAGATGTGTTAGGTGTTCTCTTCCCTGGAAGGGGGTGTAGACCAGAGAGATGGATCTCGGCAAATAAGTCAAACAAGAGATACACAAACTCGTCCATGTGAGCCATTCTGTTTACTGAGGGGGATGGTTGTCCATCTCTGTTGATGGTGGATCCTCCCATTGCTCTGGGAAAGAAAGGGCAACCCAGGACTCCTGCACTGCTCTCTGACCAGGGTAATTGGCCTCTTCAAAAACACCTACTACATTGCTAGTACTGTGTCTTGGAATGCATGTGCCCTGGGATCTCTGCACCCTGGAGCCCGTTAGCATTCCTTCTTGCATAGGAGAGAAGCTCTTGAGCCCCTGAGGAGCTGTTAACAGTTAATCATTGCTGGGGGAGAAGGTGTCATTCCCCACAGTGATGTAGCCGTTGGTAAGTTGAGCACGCACCTCTAAAAACCCCCTACCCGGGCTCTTGCAGGCAACTCTGATTAAACTCAGTGGCTCATAAAACAATTCGAAATGTATGTTAGATGGGTGGGAACTGGCTGGAAGAAGAAAGTGGCCAGCATCAGTGAGGGACTGAAAGGATAACGGCCTGGAAATGACCAAAATGCACTGTGTGCATGTGTGAGGTTACCAGAGAATGTCTAAATTAAATGCATGTGCCCGGTTATAGAACACGATAAGTGGCCTCCAGGAATTAAAATTGACACACAGAGCCTCCTCCTTTGGTGACCTCTCCCTTTTCTGTCATGAGTTGGCCAGCCTGCGTAGTTGTTCCCTGAAGGAGTCCGGCTGGCACTTTCATGCTCTCTGTGTGTTATCTCTAGATGCTAGGTTTTACCACGGTCATGTAAAAAACGTGTGTTGTATCTTGAAAACCCAAAGTGGGATGATTTTACTCCACAAGTCCCCCTGCTTCCTTGAGCAAAATGAAATGTACCTACCTCTCTATTTACAAAAAAAAAAAAAATGGCCAAGTTATAACTCAGTGACAGAATATTTGCTAGCATGTGAGAGACCCTGGGTTCTATCCTTAGTGCTGGGGGTGGAGGTGGGGAATGGGGATCCTGAATATCTCCTTAGTGTGAAAAGCCTTCAGACATTTTTCATGTACCATAAAACACACCATTTCAGAGAGTATGGAAATGGCTCAGTCAGTAAAAGACTTGCTGAGCAAGCTTGAGGACCTGACTTTTGATCTCTAGAGCCAGAGTAAAACCCAAGGCATGATGTTGTACCCTGTAGTCTTAGTGCTGGGGAGGCAGAGCTGAGGGAATCTCTCAGCATGTTTTCCAGCAAGTCTTGTCAAACAGTGGGCTCCGGGGTCAGCGAGAGACCATGTCTCAAAAAATAAGGTGGAAGGTAGTAAAGGAAGACACTGATGCTGACCTCTGACCTCCATGTGCGTATAAACACATATGTGCGTGTACACACACACACACACACACACACACTCCCCTATACCACTCACCAAAACTCACCATTTTAAAAATGTATGCTTCAAAATACCTGGCTATCTCAGTTGGTAGAGCATGAAACTCTAAAAGTGTTCATGGTTTTGTACCTCTATACTGTCCCCATCATCTATTTCCAGCACCTTCCAGCACCCTCTATTAACTGTATCCATTAGTTCTGACTTCCTATTTCCCATTCTTTCCAGCTTCTAGCAACTTGTAAACTGCCTTCTGTCGCTGGCTTCACCTGTTCTAAAGACTGTACATAAATCGAGTCAGACAGTATGCGGCTTCTATGCCTGGCATCCTCAGGATGTTTCCAAGGCTGTGATAATTACTTTGATTGTCAACTTTGTGGGATCTAGAATTGTCTGGGAAAAGAGCCACTGGCCGTGCCTGCGAGGGATTCTCTAGATTAAGTTAGTTGGAAAGACCAACCTCAACCTCAGTTGGCACCATCCCGTGGGCTTGGATCCTGAGCCGAATTAACAGGGGAAAGCACCCTGTACAAGGACACTCATAGCTCTGTACTTCCTAACTGGGACCTACTGCTTCAAGTTCCCCCATCAGGATTTCTCCACCCTATAGGGCTGTGAACCCAAATAAACTCTTCCCTACTTTTGCCACTTTGGTCACATATTGTCATTCAACAAGGTAAGAGATGACAAATACTAGTAGCCCCAGTTCCAGTTCCGAAGAGGAGGCAGAGACAGGGAGATCCCTGGAGCCCACTTGCCAGACAGCCTTACCTAACCAGTGAGGCCCAGGCCAAGAGCGAAACTGTGTCTCAAAAGAACAAGGTAGACAGCTCCTGAAGAATAGTACCTGAAGTTGACCTCTGGCCTGCACACACACACACACACACACACACACACACACACACCATACACTACAAAGCAAATAGATGGGTTATTTTTTTTTTTTTTTTTTTTTTTGGTTTTTTGAGACAGGGTTTCTCTGTATAGCCCTGGCAGTCTGGAACTCACTCTGTAGACCAGGCTGGCCTCGAACTCAGAAATCCGCCTGCCTCTGCCTCCCAAGTGCTGGGACTAAAGGCGTGCGCCACCACCGCCCGGCTAGATGGGTTATTTTTAAGATGATAAAGAAGAAATAACTTCTCTTTTACTTTTTAAATAACTACTTTTTCCGCTTGACTTGGCTCTTCTCTTAACTTGGTGATGAAATTCCTGTGAGCTTTCACCCGTGTCACGTAGTTGACAGAAGGCACCGGAATGCAGATCCCAGCCCCTGCATCTAGCATCTGGGGGATAGCTGGACAATCACTTCCTCAACTATAACCCCATTTCATTTCTGAAGAGTGAACACCTACTTCCTAGAGTTGTTTTGATACTTGGATAAATTATCCAAGTCAGTGACCCTGGAATGACATCTGCCCTGTCAGTGGGGCAAATCTATCGTGCAATTATTTGTTTCATTTTGTTTTGTTTTTTGTTTTCCTCACGCTGCATGTAACAGAATACCTGACAAAAGCAACTACGAAAAGGAAGAATTTATTTGGACTCACATTTAAAAAGAAATGCAATCCTCCATGGCAGAGAGGCTCAGCTGCAGCGGTGGTGTAAGGCAGTGAACCACATTGTGTCCACAGTCAGAAAGCTAGAGACAGACAGGAAATGCCCAAGGCCTGCCCCAGTGATACACTTCCTCTAGCAAAGCTCCTCCTCCTGAAAGTGCCACAACCCTTCAGAACAGCGCCACCAGCTGGGGACGTAATGTTCAAGCCCATTTCACAGCTAAAGCACGTGTGCTGGGAAACTTGTGGATTTCGAGAATCTGAGTTAAAAGTCCAGATATTTGGGTTATAATCTTAATGTAGTATAATTTGTGTCATGTTATTACTCTGAAGTTTGGGGAAACAGTCTTTGCACATACTACATATGGGAACCTGAGCACATATTTAAGGGCCTTTCTTAATGCTAATACCTAACATTACATGCACATGTATGTATATATATATTCATATAGTGTACACATAATAGCTTTTAACATACTCCAGTGTCATAGGACCTTGTTACTTCACTGAAAATACTTTACAAGGGAAACAGGGAGATAATTCAGTCATGCAAACAAGACACCTGAATTTGTTCCCTGGCACTCACGTAAAAAAAAAAAAAAAAAAAAACAAAACAAAAAAAATAGGAATGGTGGGGCACATTTGTAATCCTTACCCAGAGGATGTCAAAGACAGGCAGGTTCCCAGGCTTATAAACCAAGCAGTCTAGTCTGATCAGGTCCTGGTAACAGACCCTGTCTCCCTCCCCCCAAACAAGGTGGACAGTCCTGAGGAACAACACTCAAAGTTGACCTCTGACCTCCACACATTTGCACATGTCCCTTCCCAAGAAAATAACCATTTTTTTTCAAGTTAACTATGGGAAGACAGTAGTTATTACTGACTATGGGAAGACAGTAGTTATTACAAGAGGATTCCAGTACTGGCATGTTGAGGGCATTTTTTTAATCTTTTGGAAAAATCAGTATTGGTGATTCGTTTGAGATCAGAAAGTAGGCAGCATGCAGCATTCCCAGACAGAGTGGGCTTCTGGATTGAAATATCAGTGTTCCCTCACATCCGTTTTGTCCCTGCAGTGTTTTCCTCGCTGAGCCTTGGCTTGCTTCCTGAACGCTCTGCCACGCTGATGGTCTATGAAGATGTGGTCCAAATAGTCTCAGGATTCCAAGGTACGTCTTATATTTAAAAGGAGAAACGATGCCGATTCTTGAGTCAAATGCTAACATTTGATGACCAGCATTGTGGCGACAGTGAATTTATCCACAGCTGGAACTCAAGGGAAGTCTGCATTTCAGCCATAAGTTGGCTGTAACATTACTTCTTCCAGGACCATCCTCTAAGTGTACATGAGAAAAGACAGGGGCTCCCTGCTTAGCTCCCCATTGTCTCTCTTTCCTAAGAAAGGATTCTAATTATTATTATTTGGGTCACTGTCCTGGTCCATGTTGTGCAATAGACACTGTCACAAGAGCTAGAAAGGGAGAGGGGACTTGTCTTGCTTGCCTTCTATTTTTTAATGTGCTTCACAGTCGTTGTAAACCCTCACCTCACCCCAACCACAAATGGCTCTTAAGATTTGCTAATGTGCTGGGTGGTGGTAGTGCACGCCTTTAATCCCAGCACTTGGGAGGCAGAGGCAGGTGGATTTCTGAGTTTGAGGCCAGCCTGGTGTACAGAGTCTTCCAGGGCAGCCAGGGCTACACAAAGAAACCCTGTCTCCAAAAACCAAAAAAAAAAAAAAAAAAAGCTTTGCTAATGTTCTGGGCACCTGCCCTCTTCTAACCGGTATTGGGATTCAGGTTGGGAATAATCCTCACACAGAATACCTTTCTGCGCTCAGATCACTGCCTTCCATCACGGGCTAGAGAACCATCCTGTTTCCTGGCACTGCTGAGTGTGGATTTGTTGTGGTGCTTGCATTTGCCTTTATCATCCTAAGGTTCAATGTTGTAGGTTCACATAAAAAAAAAAAGTGTGGGTTGGAAATACGGCTTCAGTGTGTCTGCTTGTACAGAGAACCAACGTGCAGTTCTCAGCATCCACACTGGGCAGCTCACAACTGCCTGGAACTTTTGTTCTGGGGGAATCCAACCTCATCCTCTTCTGGCCTCTTTAGGGTACCTACACCCACAGAGCTGTACACACCCACACAGACACATACATAAAAGATAAGCTCTTTATTACACCTGAACATGTACAGACCTTTACTGACAGTATTCCCTCACTGGACAATATAACAACTATTTTCATAGCGCTTCCAATGTACTGGGTATGATTTAAAGGCTGTGTAGCATATACCTGTGGTCTATACAAAAACCACTGTGCCATTTTCCATGAGGGACTGGGGCATCTTGGGATTTTTGGTAGCCACACGGGGTGCCCCGCATATATGCAGAGGGCAGTGTACTTTATTCTTTAGTGATGATACCCATCATTCTGAATCACACAGATCCATGTGGTATCTGAAAATGAGGCATGTTCATTATTTCGTCGTTAGCGGGGAGCTTCAGGGAGATGTGGAGAGTTTAATATGCAGCTACTGACTTTACAGGATGGATTTGAAAACAAACGGAAGTGTCTGCAGCATTTATGACTTACGTTTCGGAGAGAAACAGAGGTGCAGATTTCGGTGTCATCTCACAGTAAAGTGTTTGTGGTCTTTTTTTTTTTTCTTTTTCACAAGAGACACCAGTGCTAGGCCTGCGTCTTTCCTGACCACTCCATAGCCTAAGTCTGTGGCCTCTATACCTACAGTTCGTCTTCCATTAGCTTTGCTAAAGTTAGACTCATTTACTGCCTCCATATTGGCCAACCCCCGAGACATCAATTACCACTTCATCCCCTTGGTATCACCATGTCAACAGAGGTAGCAAGTTGGTCACCTATTTTGAAACTGCCTCCCCTCACTTCCTTGATTCAACACCTTACTTTTCTGTCTTAACTCTTGGTCACTCTTTAAGGAAACTCTAGTAGCTTTGTTGGGCCCCGAAACCCCCATCCTTCCCTTTTCTAGGCTCTGGGTATCAGTATTTTCTAGATATCAATTACTTCCAGCCCCCTGAAGTAGGCTTACCTCCAGGGGGGCTTAGCCTCCTAGGTGGGGGCTCAGAAGCAGCTGCTTGTTACATCTCACCTTGGATATCTATTGAACATAAACACATTGAGATCTTGGGTGAGTTTACTAGAACTTCTGTCTCCATGGATGATGTGAACACATAGTGTAGTTGGTCAGGCTGAACCTTACTGAGCTTCCTCTCCATCCTCACTGTTACCATGGCACTCCTGTATACCCACCCCTCCCCCCAGTGCCGCAAAAGGCTTTTCACGAATGGTGTATTCCTGCTTTCACTGAATAAGTCTGGCCCTCATAAGACTAAAATTAAAGCACATGTGTCAGCCATCTTTGGTTCTTCAATGGTTTTCTCATCATATGTCAATAAAATCCAAATTTTTTATACTCAGGGCTACATGGTTTCCCTAGCCCTGAGCTTCTGGTGACTTCTACAGTCACCCAGAAGTTGTTGCTGGTTACAGATTAGGGTTGGGATAGGCATGGAAGCCTGTGAGTTTCCTGAGGAAGCAGGTTCCTTGCGCCCATATTTCTTCCACAAAGCGTTTTAGCCTCTCCCAGCCGCTGCCAGCCCTATCTCCCTCACAGCTGCCTGTCAGATTCTTGAACCAGCGTTTCCCTTTATTAAGGTGAAATCATAAAACAAGTGAACATCTCCTCTTCACTGTCCTCTGTCCTGTGCATTTCATACTGCCCAGGGCTCAGTGTGTAGGGTGCAGAAAAATGGACACACTGGATTCTGTTATGGTTGCTTAGGCTTCTTGTGACTGCCTCTTGCACTCCGCAGTGTCACCCGACAGTCTTGACACCCAGCTCTCTTGTCTTGTGTCTCTGGGAAGGACCCAGAACCCCTCTCATGCACTATCTGGGCACTTGCCTTCTCCCTATGCGGCATTCTGTAGGACCTTCGGCTCCCCATTTCAGACCTCCATGCGTCAAAAACTAGTTACGGGAAGCCTGGCTTCCCGGCTGAGTCACCACACACTCCCAGCCCTGTGCCTGCACACGTGTGCTCTTTCCTGTTACTCACGTGTTATCTGTCTGTGCTCACAGCGCACAGATCTCTGCAGATGCACAGATTTCTGCAGATGCTTCCAGCCAGCATGCTGCTCTGAAGTCACTGCATCAGGGGTGGGGTTGATACAGTCAAGAAGCTGCACTTCATGCCTTGAGTGTTTCCTTTCCCCTGTGTCTGTCATACACTGGACTGCTGATATAGTCTTCCTGGGGCCAAGCTCTGGTCCTTTCTCTTCCTGGTTGCTGTCACTCCTCCCGATGCTATCTCACAGGCCGCCATGATGCAGCCTCTGTCTGTCTGCTGAGAGTCCATGCACACAGACTGTGTTAATAGCCCAATTCAGTTTGTTTTGCTCCTTCCCACCTGGGACATCCCACTCCATCATCCACATTGTCTTTAAACTCTCCATTCACAGCAAGGAGGCTGCAAACCAAATTCTCCAAGCTTTCCTGTATCTCCTGAAGAGCATACTGGCTGTAACTCTAAAGTCCTAACCCACTTCCTACAGACAGACCCAACCTCTTAAAGGGTCCCTAGTCCCCCAAAACCATGCCACAAAGCACCAGACCACAGTGTGTTCAGTAGTTAACTGTAACATGTACCTTTCCTCATCAACTAAGTTGTTGTATCACCATCTTGGGTTTCTTCAAACCCAGGCCCTGCACCTGCTTCTTGACATGTACCCAATGAGCCATTGAATAATTAAGTAAACAAATGAATAATCAAACTCCATCTGCTGTTCATGCTTCCTATGTAGATGGTTTCTTCATGATTGCTTTCCTTTCTTTGTTCAAGTGTATTAGGGCAGAGGGTACAGTTAGCACACACACACGTATGTGTAAGCACATGAGGAGGGAGCATTAAAATACATTCAGATAGCTTTGTTATAGTTAATTGATCAGTAGCTGTCCACCCCTGCGGGGCGCCGCCTCGCAGAAAAGGAGAACGCCACGCTTCAGGATTCTTCTGACAGCAGTTTTATTGTTACAGCTCCTTTAGTGTTACAGCTCTCTTAGATGGTAGTGTTACAGCTCTCTTAGATGGTAGTGAGGCGAGGGACCCCAAGCCCCAAAAGCTTATGGCTTATATAGAGCTTTAGGAAACGTGCCTTACACTCATTGGCTCTTATGATGTCGCCAAATTAGCATACTGGTTTTCGCGCCTTGCGCAGGCGCACATTCAAGCAAGGCTCGCAAGAAGAACCAGGAAGCAGGAAACCGGCGCCATCTTGCGATGGCGGACGCGGCTCCTAACACACCCCTGCCTCCTGTGTCTAATCAGAAGCCACCTAAGAACCATTTCTTCCTTTCTGTAGTCTCATGTCCATACTGGCTTCGTAACATTACAGATACTTGATCAATTTTATAACTTACCCTCCACGAGCTTGAAAGATTTAATTATACTGTTTCTTATCTCAACAAAGTTGAGGCAGGGCAGTGATAACAATGCACTGTTTTATTTTATTCAGGGATTTTCCTTACTGAAGAAAAGCCATAGGTAGTTGAGTAAATAGGAATCTTTGCCGTCATTTGCTAAATCAGCTCCATTTTGCAAAACCAGTATGGTACCGAATTTATGGTTGATACATAAAATGTTTTACCCCCTGACTGGTCACAGTTTGTTGCTCATGTCATGTTTCAGTGGATATAAATTATCGCCTGCTCAGAAATACAGCACTCTAAGCAGGCTGCCTATGAGCATGTTGCTCAGAGGCCGTGATGTGCCAGGCCATCCTGGGAAGGGTCCCCAAGCTTGATGATGCTTCACTTAGAAACTTCATCCTACCACTATGTGCAAGGTCACATGATGCTGCCCTAAAGGAAAAGCTTGGACAGAAGAAAGACCACTAGGAGAGATGGATACCAGGGACAAAAGAGGAAAGAGGCTATTGTTCCCAGACATGTGTGTGAAATGTCAGTTGAAGGTTTAACATAATTCTATCCAAAAAAAAAAAATACGTTAATGAGAAGTTTTCTAAAAAACAAAAATATTATCCACTTGTCTTCTCTGTAGATACACTGGAAGGCATTTATGTAAATCCTAACCCTATACACCAAAATAAATAAATAGATTCTCATCAG